AGTTTTGGGGGAGGAGGAGGCATGGCTCATAATTAAAGCAGGATTTGCTAGATTGATGGTTAAATGGGGTAGATCGGAATGTAAGCAGACACTTGGGCTGTTGCATATGCAAAAACATCCATCCCTCATCAACAGTGAGCCTTTCCCTCTCTCTGAATGTAGTGGAGGTGTTTGTGTGCACTATTGCATCAGTATGAGTGGATACAGGGCCCATTTTAGTGAAAATGAGTGCTTGAACAGGAGTGCACATCCTTGGCCTCAGCTGAAATGTACTGTATAGTCTCGAAGCACAGTCTAAATAACTGGCCTTGAGTAGTTCCACATGTACTTTTACAGCCATGTTGAAGACACACACACACACACACACACACACACACACACACTCATTCACATTCACAAAAATACATCTTATTTTCATAGCCCTTAATAGATTTGATTATTTGTTTTCTTTCAGGTTCCTGTGAGGAGGTCCACTTTGCAATTTTAAGCCTTGCTTAAAGTGCCTTTAAGCAAGGCTCTTAACCTAAAATTCTGCTTTACTTACTAAATGGTCATTTGCGGTTATACTGGTCAGCTCTTATAAGAATAAATACACAGTGTGAGTCCTGTGTGCTCCCAGTGCAACAGCTCCCTCTGTAACAATCTCATCTTCATTGGCATTCACACTGCTGCAGTCACAAAAGCCTAATTTTCACTATTTCAGGTATTTGTTTGCTAAGTGTGGCACCATGGGATTGGTGATACAGTACATGGAACATACAACAACAAAAGCAAGCATTTCCTTAGCAAGTTCAACTAATTCTGTCAGTTTTGAGTGCACGCACATTAACAAGTGAGGCAGTCATCACAAGGATGAACTTCTTCAAGCTGCTTACAGCATCAGGGCATGGTTTGTTACCTGCTTGACAAAGGGTTACAGAATAGATTATTACTTTCCTTCATGTTTAATTAGGCCAGGGGTGCTTCCCTCCAAGAAACAATAGTGCATGAGCACAGTCAACATATGACTGGAAGGAGCCGTATGCAAACAGCTGAAGTGTTAACAGAACAATATTGGTAATGACTTTGAAATCTTAAGAGTGGCAGGCTAAATGTCTTTCTGAATCCCATCAAGTAAGTCAATAATTGCCTCCCTTAATAGCCTATAACGGTTAATAGTTTCTCTGTCTAAATATCCTCTCTTTAGCACGCCTGGAATGATGTGCCTTTGGCTCACTGCAATCATCCCTGTAATAGTAGTTTTACACTATTCCATCATGTGTCTTTGGTACTGCATCTGTCACCTAGACGGTCAGATTTTTTAATGGAATTGCACTGGGAACTTATCCTCAATCTATGTGAACAGCACTCAAAGTTAGCCTGTATTCACAGGGGATTGATTTAGTCTTGAAATGCAAACTTATTAGTTCATTAAATATACAGTAGAAGAAAGACAACAATGCGCTCACTATGTCCTGGGCAGCGCTATTAAGTGCATTTCCTCTCACTAGTTGTCAATCAGACGCATCAAAAAGTTTTGGTGCTCCTGTCAGACTCAAAAAGCCCTATAAGGGGCCCCTAGAGGCCATTCTGCTCCTATACCTGACGGGGCCAAGTGATTTGAAATGACTGACTAACTGAGAGTGCCATCCTCAGAGCCCACTGAGAGTTGGACACGTGGACTAAACAAAAATCTTCCAATCTAAAAAAAAAAGGGGATTTACTTATGTATGTGACTGTATCACTATCAGATGTAACTGTGTGCACCAATAAATACATTTCCATATGGTAACAGCTACTGAGAGTAACATCTGATATCGGTAGGTAGTCTTATGTGTACACATGCAACCATACATACACAAACACACACCAAAATGACTTACAAATTAAAGACAAAGCAACACACTAAAGTTGGAGTATTAGCGCTTCCAATATAACTGCTTGTTTCTGTCTTCTTGGGTGTGGCTTTCTCTGTAATGTTTTTATTAAACTTTAGGGGTTGGCTTTGGGTTGTTTTGTCCCTTTTAATGACTGTGTGGTTTTGTTACGTTAGATTACAGATTAACATATTTAACATCAGATGTATAACATCTGAAGTCTCTATCCAGAAGAGTGCAGTCCTAGGAACAGCTAAGATGCTGTGCAGAACCCTGAAACTCCCAGGCCTCTTGTAGAGGACCCATTTCAGCCATGGTGGGTGGATTTCAGCTATGGCGGATCACACTAGCCACTTTGGCATCTGAAATTACAAACAAATTGCAATTTGACACTCTGACACTACAACTCCCATGAGTACTAACTGCACATGTTTGCTCATTGGTCCATTCATGAAGCCTATTGTCTTGACCGACAACACTGTAAACAAGTTGACTGTGGAGATCAAACTGGCCGTCGGACTGAGGGCTGCTGTCAGCCTCCTGTCTTGTTTTAACCTGATGGTATAATCTCACAAACAGTCGTGTGAGATTATACCACACATACATCAACACGCACTGAGTGAGTGTGCATAGAAAAAATGCAAAGGAGAGAAAGAGAAAAGGCAGAGGTGAAACAGAGAAAAGCCAGGAGGAAAGAGCTGTTAAATGCTATAAAATATCTTCAGGACCATAGATATCTTCAGGATTAAGGGACATGGTGGTGTTTAAAAAAGAAAAAAAAAACAACTACTAGCAGGGCTGCCCTTATGTCACATTGCATCGTCATATCACAGCTACCTTTCCAGAGTTGATTCTATGTTTAAATAAAAATACTCATGCCATGTAGGAAAACAGGAGATGCGTTTGTATGGGAATAATCTGGAAAATAAAGACCTGTATTGTTTCAGGTGGACATATCTACAGTTACCCAGAGTTACCAGAGCTTCATGATGATCAACATAAATCCAGTAAGTGCTCTGAGGAAAGTCAGATGCAAAACAAACAATCCAAAAGTGCACAAAAAATTATATAGGCCTACATAAAATGTTGATCCCATTGCCTTAATTGTGGATTTTTTCTTAGACAAAAATAATTTGTTATTCTTTACTCTTATTTCTAATGCAGATCATTTTATTGTATTACAGTATTTAAAGCTGTTTCTGATGACAATTTTTTTTCAGTTTAGTTTTTATCTTTTTTTTTACACCCACACAGCCCTTTCATTATATACAATAAGAAGCTACTCTTTTTATGTGTTTAAGTATTATGTTTCAAACATGTTTTCAAAAAAGGAGCTTTACACAAAACCTTATCAGAGCTAATGATAAAATTAGTACATTTTTGCACACCAATTTTAGCACAACATAGTCATCTTTAATCATATAAAACGTATTTTCCCAATAACAAAAATGTGGCTAGTGAAAATGCTGTGTGACTTTGGAAAACCACGAGCCACATTGGCTTGTGAGCAAAAAAGTTGATGTCAAGCCCTAGATACAACACAATGCAAAATAATAAGCATAAGCTATGCAATTCAATATAGTACAGAGAATGATGTGATTATATGATAAATTAACTGAATCATAAATTACTTCACATGGTTTCTCTAGTACTTCAACTACGTAAGCATCTCATTTATGCAGTTTGTTTTTAACCTCTAAAATATTTATCTGGGGCAATAGCTAGCGCTGAATCTGAGAGGGAGGGGGAGGCAGACTTCTCCACACTCACATCATGTCGCCACTTCAGGTGAGTTAGTTTTTAGGTTAGTCGCACTGCCTGTATAGGGTTAGGGTTATTTTGGAAACTGCATGTACCGTGTCTCTTTTCAAAAGTCCAAAGTGTCTCCAAACATTTAATTTTTAGAAATTCTGAAGGACTTGTAGCCTTTCCTGCTCTTAATTTAATCTTAATCTAATTTGACACACCTTGGCATTGGTAGTAGCTGACAGACAGTGGAGATAAGGGAAAGACTTTAGGAAGAATCAATCTCAATGTAATGTAACCAAATTTATACCAACTGATTAGTCACATTTCTAAACAATAAAGGCATAGGGACCAATAATTGTATATAAATAAATACATTTTTACCAATGCAAAGATATTAGAAATGATACATCCTAAATTGTAACTGGTGCACACTTTTTTAATCAGGCCAATTGCTGCAGTCTCTATTCATTAGTCACTGTAACTTACACTGTGCATTTACAGCTTAACTGAGGCGTATTATTACTTATTATTTTTACAACTTTGGATTTATTCACACACTTTAAAAAGATTTATAATAATATCAGACACTGGGCCCCCCCAAATAGCCAAAATGTCATGATCCTCATTTCACAACACCTCTGTGAAGATACGAGATTGGCAGTCGAATCAGGCTTTTTCTATCGAAGCATTGAATTTTCGACTATTCGGGGTGATTATAAGTCTGTTCCTGACAGCAGCAATTCATATAATGACATATGATCACCACAATATGGTGCTAAAGGTAGATAAACTGAGTTGAGGTTACATTTGTCTTAGAGTAGTCAGTTTTTCTCCAACACAAGCACAGTAGGCGGGAAAGAGAACGGAGATGAAATAATTACAACAATTACTTCTTTTGCTTGACACACACAGCGCACTCACATATGCGTACACAGACAGAATATAATAGCTGTGGTAAGTGAAGTACTGTCAGCACTAATAACAGTGTTGCCTGTAAAATCAGAGCAATAAAGGCAGTGAAGATGGCTTAATACATGCCTGTGAAGACACTAACTAATGCTTTCACCCCATTGCCAAACTGTATGCCAAAAGCCTCACACACTGTAACGTTCATGACGCACATATGCAAATATACATACAGACAAAAAGCTCCAGGCTACTGTAAAGCAGAGCACATGTGTAACAGTGAGGTCATGTCAATTTGTATTGTTGCATACACGTAAGATTATATCTTCACTGGTATGGGCTTTGTGTATCTACAAGTACATACGGGTCAGACATGGTATATCCTTGGGGAAACACACATGTGAATGACAATATAGAAACACATGTCTGAAGCTATTGGTCATGCAAAGGAGTCCATGGTAAAACCAGTTTTTATATAAAAGAATCTACCTGTATCCTCTCTCTGTCCCCTTCTCTCACTCCTCGGCTATCTTTGTCAGGACACAAAAGTGCTCCTTTCTCTCGTCTGCAGCGTATCCTTTATGAATAACTTCTGGTGTGGGAAGGTTGGCAGGAGGCAGGTTGGCAGGTGTTTGAGGTTGTACACCAAATTTAGTTGGTTATTTTGCTCTTCCTAGGTCCTCAGTGGTTCTGCCAGGGTTACAGGTGAACTGAAAAAAAAAGAATAATACCAATAACAAGAGACGTTAGAGTTATAAACAGCCCAGAAGAATTTAACATCACACTGCAATCAAAAGAAACACTGCTCATTTCAAAACATGCTTTAATGTTTAATTTTGTTTCTAATTTCCTGTAGATTAACAAGCTATTTCAAACTATTATGCACAGTCACTTACTTTATTTAATTGTTCATTAACCAGTAAATCTGAGTATTAGTGAATGGAATTCAAGTTAGACATAAATGGCAAACATGCAAATAAACAAAATTCAACATGTTTCTAAAAGAAATACCTCCTGGTTGAAATGTATCTATATTTAATAGAGACAAATAGATAAATAACAGTAAATAATTAATCAGTCGGCTCTAAAGGATTTCAAAAGAAATTGGAAAGGCAGAGGAGTGGCATTGTGGATGAATAGATGAGTTGAGACTACAGTCAGACAGAGAAAAAATGTGAGAAACGATGAGAGAAGGGGAGAGGGTTTTCAGAGGCATACTGATTTTTCATCTGCATCAAGACCATGAAGAAATGCGCAATGGACCCATGACAAGCATGAGAAATACTGCTGAGAGCATCTACCTATCTATCTATCTATGTATCTATCTATCATATCCCTGCCACTAGTATATTAATTCTCTCTCTCCATATACCATTCTCAGTCTGTTCAGTTATCTTTTTTCCCCTACTCATTTGCTCTCACTTCATTTCGGCTGCTGTGGTTCTCTTAAATAACATTACCAGGGCAGACAAGCAGTGTGTCAATAATTGTCGATGATGCATCAGAAGGGTACAAGGTGACAGATGGCTCGGTCTGTAAGTGGAACTATATATAATGAGATGCTACCTATCTTCCTGTTCCAGTCACAGTGCAGGATACCTGTCACAACCCACCTCAGGCCGTCAGAACACAACACACTGCCTATCTATGAATAATTTGTGCAAATAAATGTCAGAGAAACTGACACAGCTCCTTTCTCTCTCTCTGTCTCTCTCTATTGGTCTCTCCTGTTCCTCTCTTCCTTTTTTATCCACCGCTTTCCCTCTTTCTCTCTGTCTCTCTCTCCCCCTCCACTAGTGTCACCCTCTCCCTGACACACACACAAGCACAGACATTCCCACACAAACAGTCTAAATCAGTTAGGGAGAGCCTGGCCGGCTGCTCCAAAGTGAGCCGAGCGTGACATCTCATTTTCAGCAGTAATATTGGGCTGATCCTGCTCCTCCCTCACAAGTTAAATTGAGGAAGAGCGCTGCATTACACTTGATCATGACTAGGCACAGTAAGTAGGCATATGCACGTAAGAGGATACTCCCCTCGCAAAAACACATACACTGAAGAAAACTCACATCCTATGAGCTCTCACTCACAGTAAAATATACTTGTGAGTGACACGAGTGCACACACAGTGCATGTTTTGCATGCACCCCGCAGACACTAAAACAAACACATATGCTTATTTTGTAGAAAAAACAAATACATAGGGCTTCAAGCTGACTACTGAAACAGATTAGAAGTGTCTCCCCAGTGTGCTCTTTCATCTAATTAAAGAATTTTTAAAAAAGCCCATCGTGAAAAAAATACCTCATAGAATACACGCTTGTCCTAGTATTGTTTCTTTGCTCAAACAAAAAAAAAGGGTCAAAATGGATATATATATGAAGGCTGTCAGTTGAGCTCTGAAGAAACATCGCCCAAATGTACTGTCCACTCGTGCTTCAACCATTTCCATTTCCCAAGGTATCCCCAGAGTTTTCCTCTGGGGATACCTTCAGGTCAAATTGTCAACTTTCTACCCAAGATGTCAAAAGCTAATGGCCAGATTTCCATTAAATCTGCTGGGGATATTTAAGGTTCCTGGAGGATGAATTCTAATATTTTGGGTGAACACTCTGACCTCAGCAATTTCCAGCTGTGCACAAGAAATCTGTTCTGAACCTGAGCAAATGTATGCACTCTAGGGAATAAAAACCCTTTCACTTTGGGCACTCCATGTACTTTCAGCTCACACAACTTTTATCTCTTGACCACAAAGGGTCAAACCTTTTTGATTTTATGACCACGTGGCCTTGCCTGACACTGTCAGGACACGCTAGAGTTTTTAACCCCACTGATACAGCTCTGAGAACAGCAAATACATCGTTATGTTGTTCATTCTGTTCAACAGTCACACTGGAGACTGCAACGTTGGGGCTTTATATTTTAAGTCTTTTATTTGAGGGCCCTAGATTATATCACCAATGTTGCTACTATTTTTGATGTTAAAAGGCAAGATAATCGTTGTGTATAGTCACATCAGATAACACTAGGGTATGGGTGAGAGTTGAAACAAGAGCCGAATACAAAAAAAACAACTAATCCAGCATGTATTTGAATATCACCATCTCTGAATGACAAAGGACAACATGTGTTCCTCCCTCACCAGGCAACAAAGTACTAAGTTTTCTGTCTAGTCTCAATGGCATTCTCAATAATGGATGGACACCGTGTTTGACTACAGTCTCGGCTTCCAGTGTGAATTTATAATAGTGGAATTCTGTAGACACAAGATACATCAATACGAAAAGTAACTCAAACATGTTACCATCACTTACAACAACTTGAGTCGAACACCCGGTTTGAGTAACGTGGCACCCAAAGGACTTGGAACTATTTGGCTATTACAACATTACACCTGTGCAGCAATTCACATTGAGTGTTAATATCCTTTCTTCTAATTTATCTCTCACATACATATGTTCAGTGTCCTTCTCTCCCTCTCAATCTTTCTCTACCTCTCCCACTCATAATCACATCAAAGAGAAACAGCTGCTGATACAATGAGAGGGTTGGAAGTGAATCAGTCGTTTCTTTCCTCTGTTCAGCTGTGTACACACACACACACACACACACACACACATTTATACAAGTATACAAAGAGAAGCATTATTCATAGATAGGTGCAGTCAGCGTTTTTATAGCCTCCACACCCTCTCATCGGTCCATGGGTGGGTTACACAAATGAGTTACAAAATCTCATGTGTTGGTGGCTGTGTCTCTGTGTTTGCACATGTGTTATTGCATACTTGCATGGGCATGTACATTTACACCTCTTTAGTCTAACAGCTTTTTGTGTCAAGACCAACTGGAATTAAGCGCTTTCTGTGAGTGTGTGGTTGTCTGTCAAAGAAGGGTGGACAAAGTCACAGTACTCTGAGCTTCATCCCTAACTGTAGCTCAGAGCAGCAATTAGGCAGACATGTCAGAGCCAACCAATCAAAGCACCATTTACAGTAAAGTGATCTTTCGAATATTACTTTGCATGACTGGCATAACTACTGGATTAAATGGCCCTTAGAGTGGTTGGTTGAACATTCAACTTGTCAAAATCAAAAAGACAAGCAACTGTGAAACTGTTTTAACAGTTGCTTGTCTACACATCCAGTATTTTAATGGGCCGTGACGTCAAGGCGTGAGTTGGAGATATAATATTAATTCTAAACACAAAGAACAGTGCTCAGTGCTCAACTGGAGTTCAACTACTTTGTAAAAAGTTCACTCACCTCCAACTCGACTCTGCTGAGTTTCTATTTCATGTATGTTTCCACAATAGATTATTATTATTATGATTATTACATAAATAAATAAAAATCTAATCTGTGTTTACTACTAGATTATTGCTCACCTCTGCAGTCTCACACAGAGCAACACAAAGAAGTGTTCTGCATACATACGCGTTTACCTCACAGCACTGAATCGAATGCGAGTGTGTGAGGAAAAGAAGAAAGTAATTAGAGGGGAGGAAACAGCACCGTGTCTAAATCTAAAATGGACACCAGTGTGCTCCAGGCACTGCTATTACCTCTGAAACCAGCTGGCCTGCTGCTACATAACTAATAGTGCTAGCATTTGTCCCTGTAGACAGTAACAGTGGTCACTGGGCTTAATTCTTATAAGCAGTATTTTGTTATATTTATGTGCAAATGTGCCTCTACTAGTACATGAATGTGAAGAACTTATAAAATTTTGAGCATCGAAAGGCCTTTGAAGTTTTAAATTTGAAGTTTAACCCATGAAATGAGTAAATGTTTTCTTGCATCGGTGTCTTCAAAATCTTGTGATAAATCTTACAAGTCTACTTAAGTTTTGTGTTTTGAGCCTCCTGTGTCTGCTAAGCTTTGATTCACTTGAGTTTCCCATTTCAGAAAAATAATTTCTTGAGCGTGAGAAAGTCATGACCTCTCCATCTGTATCTTAGCAATCACACATCTCTTAATTGGCTTGATACAGGATGGGAGATATTTAAGCTTGTGATCTGACTCTATATGATTTCTTTGTGCATTGAAAGAGCATCGAAAGATACCTAATTATGCTTGAAATACTTTCTGGCACTTCATTGCAGAAAATGTATAATATCATCCATTCTCAACGGGCAAATAATGCAGGAGGAAATCTCCTTTACACATGAATAAATTACAAAATCAGTCAGTTGCGGTCATCCAGACATTTCCATTTGTAATTTGATTATGTAAACATCCAATTATAATACCTCATGCCACATGATCTTTGTGAGATCACCCGGACGAGAAGCCAATTCAGAATTAATCATATATTTAAAACATTATATGCTTCTTCTTACTGTATACTCTGAAGCAGGTTGTATGCCCACTTAGTGTTTACTGTGTGCCCTGTTCAAAATAAACCGTCATATGTGACGATGCTTTTACCAAATGTATGATATCAAATTAGTTCCCTACAATTACATTAAAAAGAAAGAAATGGATTGGATGTGTAACAATGACAGTGAAGAAAGTCTACCTTTACTTCAACATGCCACTTAACCTTATACAACATCAGTCGTTTGTGTGTGTGCATCCATGCTCATAACAAGGCCCTATGAAGCGAAAACACCAAACACTCATTAAATGTATTAATAAACACCCTGCAAGGCAAAAACTGAGGCTGCCAACAAAGACAAAGGCTTAACAATCTGAGGACAGCAGGTG